TCTGCTTGATCCAATTTTTCTTCCATTGAATTTCAGATTAATTATTCCTACCACAGTCCACAAAGTACCGTACTGCTTAATGACAGCGTGTTAAAATCGCAAAAATCCTGTTGATGGGTGCAAGGTCCATATCCAGGCTCTGCCGTGGTGTGTCAGCAGGTGGGGAAGAGAAAGGAAAGGAGTAATCACTTGCAAAAAAACCAAATAATCTGTAGCTATTGCATAATTTGTTTTTTCATTAAGCAGCATCCAAGAGCAAGGGGATATTTGTTCCATTAAAAATGCTTATTTAAAAACTCTTTAGTTAATTTTCCCTCCTGAAGGCTGCTCTAAAAGGGAAAAAAAAAAAATTAAAAAAAAAAAAAAATCAATCTCCTCCCTAAAAGAGGAGGAAAAAGCAGTAATTTTTCAAAAGAGTTTTGAATTTCCTCTGAAGTTAACAAAATGCAGCTCCTTGACAAAACCATATAATGCCAAATCGCCGGCATCGCCGTTACATGACGAAGACAATTGATTCATGGTACTTTCCATGAGCTATTCATGTTAAGATTTACTTATTCCACCAAATGAATATTATAAAAAATTAATAGTATGCAGATTGCCATTATTGCAAAAGCCTCGGGGCCTTATGTGGCAAGTAATTTTCAATTATTCAAAAATATTAATAAAGTAGAATCTTTCTTTTCCTGTTTCATGACAGCTCCCAGTCTGTGAGCCTGGTCCTGCCTGTGGCTTGTGCAGCTCCCAGTTACAGGCTGGGAAATACAGGTGCCCTTCTCACCCTTAGGAGCGCTACCTAAAAAAAAAAAATAATAATAATAAAAGACTTTGCAGCACTTGATAGAGTTATTATTTTAAGAATCAAATCCACCTGGAAAATGGGAGCGACCAGCTCAGCACTGGAACGTCAAGTCGTGCTGAGGGTAAAGCAGCTCTCCCAAGCTGTCAGCTTGGACAGCCATGCAAAAATTAAGGCAACAGAAACCCCTTTACCTTTGGGGGAGGAAAAAAAAAAAAAAGAAAAAAAAAGATGCTTTTCAGTTTAACCTTTCCAATCAAACGACCTTCTCGTCAGTGTAAGTTAAGCAGGGGACAAGTAAGGCAAAAGTAGCACAAAGCAGACTCCAGCAAACACTTTTAGTGGTGCTGAGCAAAACAAAATTTCTGTCTCAAAGAAGTTTCACGGAAGAACAGCCTTCTCTAGGAACCAGAAGAGCGAGGGAGCGATGCGGCTTCGCCTCTCGCACTCACCTTCCCTCAACTCTTCGCAGCTCAAAACGCAGCTCCACGAAGCCATAAAACTCCATTTTCCAAGATATTTTTCACGACGCTGCTGCCGTCTTGCTGCTGAAAAGCCTTCCGAGAGTGGCACAAGAGTGGTCTCTGGTGGAAGCAGATCAGATCGACAGCGTCGGCACCGTGAGTGCAGGAACTCAAGCCTGGGTGCGCAGCCATCAGAAGTCACTTCTTTTTAGCCCTAATTCTTCTTAGCCCTAACACCAGACGAGCCTCATGCATTACACCCTAAAAAAGTGAGTTTTCACACACGCTTTTGGACTTCTTATTAAGACTTAATAATATTTTATCTTACTGTACTCAAACCTGCCAGACAACAGCATGAGAAAAGGGGCTTTTCTGCGGTTATTTCATTAATCACAGACTTGGGAAAAACGACAACCAAAACACCAACAGATTGACCAACCAGCTTTCCAGTGGGAGAGAAGGGGAGAAGGGACGACCAGGGCAGTGACACCACTAGCGTGACCACAGCGAAAATGTTAAGAGCTCAGATTCTTGCCCCAAAAAGAGGATTTCAGCCCACTTAGGTTTAACTTCAGGACTGACGTCAATTCTGAACCCAGCAAACGGGTGCAAAACTCTCATCAGCCAAAAATTCAGAAGAACTTTAGAAACGTCCCCAAAAAAATCCTATCAGTGGTGTTCCGATAGATGTTCCCTTGTAAATTGATCAAGACAGACAACTGCAAGTGCCCTGTCAGCTCCAACAGCCTCTGACTCAGGAATACAGACCAGAAAACAGAAGAGAGAATGTCAGTCAAAGAGAAAACAAACCCAGTAGGGAACAGAAAAAAGCAGAAAAATAAGTAATAAATCAAAGCGATGGTCAGTTAGTTTATTTCTACATTTCTCTCGTTTTTAACAGGGCATGAGCTGTTCCCCAGGGTAGTTCCCAGTGCAGAATTCCCACCTGCACAAAGTTCTTCACAGACCAACTGGGAGGGGGTGGTCTTGGGGAGCTCCAGCAGGTAGGTCAGGATTTACTCCGGCTCAGCCATCCCCCCCACGAGGCCAACACATCTTGATGCCACCACACTTCAGCTTCTTCGTCCCACACCGCGTCGCTGCTTTTGGCACAGGCTCCTCCTCGAATCCTCACAGGGGGAAAAGGAAAGGAGGGCAGGGGGAAAGCAGGCGGCCTTTTGTTCTGGAGGTGGGGTGGGTTTTTGGTTTCCCAGCAGCAAGCAGCACCCATAAGAAGGCATCTCCTGTCTAGTAACCAAGGCAGATGGAACAGGCAAGAAAGGCCTCACCTTGGAGTAATCCCCGCTCAAAACCAAGGGTTTCTGCATTATTGTGAGGAAACGGTTGAGAAGTCTCCTTTCCCCCAGCGAAAAAAATCAAAGCTATTTCTTGCACACCTCAACTCCATGTTCCCAAGCTAACCAGGTGTAAGGCGAAGACAGAGCCAAGTTGCCCTTGGAGACGGAGAACCGTCAAGTTCTGGCTGAAGCAATCTTTTCCTTCTCTCCCCAAATACCCTGTGAGCTTCGTGATGGCCTTAAAGGAACTACACTACAAAAATAAAAAACCCACAAACACAAAAGCTGTCAAATACAGTATTTTTTTAATGCAGATTTGTAAAATGTAAGCCATTTTGAAAATTCAGGACATTTCACGAAAGAGTATTTGGTCCTCTTAAAAATTTCCCATCCCCAATTAAATACTTCATGGAAAAAACAGCGATTAAGCATACAATGCATTTTCGAATTAGGAAAAACTGCTATTGCACATTATACCGAGAAATACAAAAGTCTGTTTCAGCAAGTTATTCCAGCAGTTTTATCCGTTTCATTTTGATATCACTGACTCACACAAGAGTCTTCATTTTATTGCATAATGTGTGCCCCGTCATGACCGAGTACAAAACGTATCAAAGCATTTTTAAAACCAAGAGGAAGAAAATTTGGCTCCTTAAAAACCACAAAACCTTTTACCATGCGGTCAGCACCAGTCTCCTCATGGGCTAAAACCGTTCCTACGGAAAAAGGACCCTTGGGGCACCTTGGCAACACAGATTTCAAGGCAGTTTCTCACGAGGAGCTGAGCATACACGATTTGGCACCGTGAGGCAATGCTTACCGGTCACACAGCTACACCGTGAACCTCTCCCAATACCTCTTTGGATCGTAACACCTTGACTTTACGCCTCGCTTCAAAACAGGCAACGAAGACATTCCAGCAAAAGGTTTGCAAAGTCAATTCCACCCAGGTTGTTCGAGCCAGGTGCCTGAGACATCAAGGCAACCGATTCCATCACGTTTTGGGAAATCATCGTATTTCCCTCTGCCCCCCCCTTAAAACATACACAGTTAAGACTAAGAAGACAGGATTTTCTTTTCTTTTTTTGCCCGAATACAATATTCAGCAATCATGGAATAGAAGAATCTACAACGAAGTCCCTGAGATGCATCTGTATGCTAAAAAATTCAAATTATAACCCCTTCAGCACTAACTTCGTATCAGAAATGTTTCGAGTTGCAACCAACGGTTTACAAAAACCGATGTCGTTATTATGAAGGTGAAAATACAGCAGATCAAGTTTGCCTTTATATTTAGCCTTAACTTAGAAAGAATTAACCCAACAGTAAAGTTCAACTACTTCAACTGTAGTCAAAAGTAAAGAGCACGTAAAGCAAAAAAAACCCAACCAAACCACAACTGTTCTATTTCAAATAAGTTGCTTTGGCCTCTTTCAGCCCAGTCTGAATTTAACCACATTCCTCCCAAAAGTCCATCGACGGTTATTCCTCAAATCTATCTGAGCTGCATTTCCAGGTGGTGCGATGAAGCACCAGCGAGGTTCTCACCGTTCCTCACTGGAACTAGAAGGCACAACCCTAACGACGCTGACTCCAAGAATAAATCCAGGCCAGAAATATTCCCTCGGATGGGCACAGAAGTTGGTATTCTTGCAGTATTTAAACAAAAACAAACAAACAAACAGTCCTTCAACATGGAAGTTACTTTTTAGGTTACTTTGGGATTCACTGCATCCTGTAACCAGCTCACCAGAAATACTTTCTATCCATCTTCCCAAGCAAGCTCAGGTTTTCCTACTAGTGAGGAAAACGTAAGGCACTAACACATAATGCTGTCAGGAATGCAAAATAGTTTGTTCTTCATGTACTGTTGTACCAGTTCTTAGCAGCATCTCCCCTGAAAAGGCACTAGAGACGTGGCAAACGACGAGACTCGTGGAACTTCTGCTCAGCTAAGCTGGATCAGGTCAGCTGCTTGGAACGCCGAGTGGCTTTGCAATTTCCCCTTCCCTCCCTCCCCTCCCCTTACAAAAAAAGGCACCTGATTTATTACTGGTTTCTGCAGCTACAGGGTCTTGCAACTGTGCAATTTAATACAACTGTATGAGGGATATCACGACTGTACTGATAGTTTTCTGTATGATCAGGAGTTATCTTTCCAAGATACTATTCCAGACAGAGCGTTTTTGCATCAGCAAAACCCACCACCAGTGGGTTCCTACCTGAGTAGTACTTAATGGTGTGTATTGCTAGGCAGAGTAAGTCAAATGATTAAACCTGGTGTAAGAAATTGCACTTTCCCATTCCTTCCCCAACCACAAGATCATTTCAAATTAAATACTAGACCCTTTTCTAAAGGGACATCCGTAATACAGCTACGAAGAGGTAGCTAAGTGACACATGCCAATTTACTTTTTTTCCTTCTTTTTCTTCTCCCCCTGAAGTATATTCAGCCTTCATTTGCAACATTTTTCACGAGGAAGTCTTAAAATAAGAAACCTCTGTTCACGTGGCATGTGAGGTTACCGCGGTTCAGAAGACTGAACTCTAAGAGAACTTGATCTCCCTTCACATCCAGAGCTGAAAGCTAAAAGCACGAGGGATACCCAAGTGAAGTGACTGGGCGTACGCAGGGGTGTAGCCGGAGAGGAGAGGAATCTCCTCCTGACGCAGGGCAGGAGTTGACTCCGAAGAACCACTCAGATCAAGCCCACCATCCGATCAATCTGTCGCATGTAGTTACTCTTCAAGGGCAGCAGGTATCTCCTCTCGTCGGGAACTCTGTTACACTGGGAACAAAACGAGAGCATCTCTAAGGACTCAAATACAAAACCAGACTATCCCAGCATCTTTCCATAACCCTTCCAGCATCAGTAACCACAGATTTCCTTCCCGTTGTACCTAACAGCACTTTTGATCCTGACTTTGTCACTTTTTTGCAAACGTGACAGCACAAACCACCCAACTGAACAGCGAGTGTTTTCCCCGTGCGGGCTGCGAGCTTCCAAACACACGCCAAGCTGCCGCGGCTTGTTATTCAACTGAGACTTCCTTCACTATGACAACCGTGAATGTTTAAAATAATGCTCTTTTTTTCTGGAGGACTTGGGGGAAAAGGAACCATGCTAGAACCTACCAGTAGAGATTTAAAAAAAATCTCTGTATTAAAAACTGTTTTAGCCAGTGATTGGCACTAAGTCCATCGGTCTGTACTTGGGTGATGAGGAGCTAAGAAAGGTCACTTTGACATGCCTCAGAACCGCCCCGAGGAAAAGGAAAAGCTGTGTTTAAATGACCCTCTGCTTTTCTCTTTCCCCACCAAAACGACACTAGAAAATTTCAATGGCAAAGAAAAGGGGAAGGGAAAAATAATTGGAACTAAATTAACAAAGAACAAACTAATTCCTGCAAAGTACTTAAAAGGGGACAGATTTCACCTTCAGCATAATATCTCTCGCATTATCCTAATCCATTCATTCCACTGCTGGAAAGTGCTTTTCATGAGGGAGCTTCTCAGATATTTGACATTTGTAAAAAGGAAACACTGCAGAGCTCTAGAGCGACACTTCCCAGTGGCTCTTTCTAGCCCAGTTCAACGCACGTTCCTTCCCCAGGAACACAACCAGGACTGTTTTTTACGTTAGAGCTGAAGTTGACTGCCTTGAACTCGCTGGGTTTAATTTTTTCTGCGCTGTCCTCTTCTCCGGGGAGGATGTCTTGCCACAGTGAATTACGAAAACGTTCGTCCACAGACACGATATGCCCCTCAGTAGTAAACATGTACTTATTTCCAGATCTATGCAGCGGATTCTCTTCATCAAACAGCTAAACAAGAGACGGGAGGAGACAGCTGTAGCACGTGCACAACATTCTTCATTTCCCACCAGGAGTAAATCAAAAAAGCACGCACTCGTGCACTTGAAGGATCACACAGAAAGCCTAACTTTTAGCACTGAATGGGCAACTACTGTTAGAGCAAATGGAAATAAATAGTTTTAATGCAAGGGACTTATTTTAACAGTTAAAACGGGAAAGCAAGAGAAAAAGTTCTCACACAAGTTGCCCTTATTTTTCTAAGCTGCACCACACAGGCATTTCTAGACTGGCATCCACTGTTTCCACTGCGTCACGGATTTACTTGTTTTTCTGCACGAAGGGAGGCTGAGAACAGTAGCTTAAGCAGGGTTGGCTCAAATGCTTTCTCCTGTGACTGCCAGAGCCTGGCGGGGAGAATTCGGAGGCTGCTGTGAGGCCGGCACGGCTACAGGCAGCGATTTGACTCGGAGCTGAGCAGTAGCTTCCTCCAGTCTTGCTTCCTCTCCAACTAAAAGAGCAGCCAGCTCTCCAGCCAGCAGTTGCCCAAACCTCCAAAGATCAGGTCAAAGAAAGAAAAGCAGCCCATTCTCTGAGACAATCCAATACCCAAACCCTTCTCTTCCACAGAGCACAGCTTCGTTTCTAATTAACGAGGTCCTGCCTCCTCGCCGCGCCTGTGCGTGGTGCACGCAGGAGATCATCTTGGAGATGAAGAACGTGTACGTACCAGGTACAAATATTTACACGTCTCGCTGAGGAAAAAGCTCTCCATTCGATCTTCCTTTGTCTTCTCTACAACGTGGTGTAATGTGGCATAGCCACACCTGCAAGATTGAAGAGCAGTTTGGGTTTAGTTCCCGATCTGGAAGCGCTCCCTAGATACTTCCTAACTTCGGAGCATTCCAATTGTCAGCGGGGCTGAAGTTAAAGTGAAATGAGTCTCTCTTAGGAGTAAGCACTGATTACTGGTTTCTGAATCCTGCTTAACTGTGGAATGGTGCTGGTTTATACTGTCCTGTGGTTAGTACACAGGGGTCTATGAAAGCACTAAACACTAACAGGTGACTGAAAATTCGTTCTCTCTCCTCCGAGCCTTGCAAGAAGTTCAGCTACTGAGCATTACAGTCAGGATTCACTGCTACTGCCCTGAGGTCAAAGCTGAGATGCAACAGCATCTCTCTCAGAGCTTAGTTAAACGCTTAAAAACCAAAGGCCTGTGAGATGAGAAATAAACCTGCAGGATCCATAGAGAAAACCTCACATCAAGCCTACTAATTTTACCATTCTTTAGCAACTGATCATCAATGATGCATTTTGAAAAAGTAGTTATACAATTCTGAAGGCATCGAGTTGGTACTGACTGTAATTTCATTTTCAGGTGAGAAAGAAGTAACTGCTCAATGGATAAATCATCACTTGTGGCTTTCATGGAGGGTTGGATTTTCTGATTTACCTACACGTGGCAGATTGGATTCTCTACAATATTTATATAACAAAATATACGTATATAGCAGCGAGAGAAGACAAAGAACACTGAGGACTTACTTTGCTTTTGTGTATTTTTCCAAACTCTGCAGAATATCCATTCCCACATGAAGGTAAAATGGGTTCTTTGTGGCCTAAATAAGAAAAACAGACAAGAGTCGGGAGTCAGCAATTCTGAAATCTTCTAAAAATGACACAACAAAGGCCTAGCAGTATTACAGTAAACTTATCTTTATAGGAACACGACTTAGATTACTCTGCACAAGCTTTTCACATTTGCTTTAGTCCAAATCCTACTAAAACCTGTAGTAAATTTGAAGTCTTTGATAGCTTTCTTGCAGCCAGAGAGTTACTTTAGTTCACTGTACCTTCTGCCAGCTGGAGACTGTGCCTATACAATGCAGCAGGGAAAGCTATTGCATTTACTTCAACAACTTCTACTAAGAAGTCACAAGTCTCTACCTTGTAAAAACCTTGAAAAGGATGTTTAGTCTTGGTTTTGGCTGCCTTATAAAAAAAAGGCTATTTTTTAAGCAAACATAGCAACTACATTGCATAACAATCCAGTGCCTAACAGAGACCTCCTGACAAGAAATGGTAGGTCCAGAGGCACCAACTTTTAGCAGGCCAGGGGCCAGGTGCAGAAAATGCGACTCTCTGAACAAAGCCTTTTTTTTTGTTTTGTTTTGGGGTTTTTTTGCCAAAAACATGAGCTGTAAAGCTGCGAAAAGTGAAGCAACCTGATAAAGAAGATAGGTGGATTCCACTAATTCCGGCCTCAGCGGATAAAAGGGAACGTCCGGCGCTTGCAGCTGCCAGTTGTATCTTTCTGGGAGGGCTCCGTAGCGTTTCCATATGGCGTAATAAAAAGCGTGAAGACAAATGGCATCTTCCACATCTCCTATCAACACCTGGGCAAAACGACAGCCGCAAAAATGAATGTTGGATACCCCAGGCCAGCAAAACCGCTCTGTGTAAGAGCACTCTGTACAATAAAATACTCCCCTTATAAGTGGAGGCAAAAAGAAAGACCGACTAAAACAAACCACCACCCTGATGTATCAATTCCTTCGCACTCTAAGCTTTACTGGAGCTCAGCTTCACAACGAGGTATAAAAATCCTAAGTGAGAAAAGTCAAAAGCATCTCCCATCTAGCAGAGAGCAGGCCAGGCCCTCGATGCAGCAGCTGAACTGCCCTAAGACACTCTTACCAGAGCAGCCAGGCTCAAACCCGCAGGTTGAACCTCAACTCCTAAGAGATGCTCAGACTCATTCACAGCCCAGGATTGAAAACGGGCCTCAACTGTGTCGTTCAATCTTCCCCAGAACGCAAGTTTACCTGTAGCCCAGGAAAAAAGGCTTGCAAAGAGTCAATCCACGTGTTCATCAGCTGTCCCGTGAACATGTTGACATTAACGTACAAAGGAGGGTCACCTTCACCTTCATTGCAAGCTTCTCGACTGCCAAGGAACAATAGGCACATACAAATATTCACTGCTTTGTAAGAACACAATGCACATTTCATTTCACAGCACTGCCGCCGGCAAAGAGAACAAGCCACAGATTTGTCACGCGAGGCTCAAAGTCATTTCGTAAAGCACCAAAACTTCAGTCATATTCTCAGAAAAATTAACTCATAAAGGTTTGTACATCATATCCTCAAGTTAGGTCAGCAGAGTCTCTACTGAAAAGTCACGTAAAGCACCAAAACTTCAGTCATATTCTCAGAAAAATTAACTCATAAAGGTTTGTACATCATATCCTCGTTAGGTCAGCAGAGTCTCTACCGAAAAGTCACACTAGGTACAATCAGGCCTTAGGAAGTACTAAATGAACCAATTTAATACATTCCCTTTGCAGTTCCACAGCCTTCCCTCAACCTAACATACCCTAAATTGGACAGTGACCAGTTTAATTTCTTTCCACCAGCAACACTACAAAGATCAGCTGATTAAGGAATGAAGAGAACACCAAAATTTATTTCCACAGTGACTGCCACAGAAAGATTTTTTGTTTTCAAGTAAAAAAAAAAAGAAACAACACAGATTTTCTGAAGCATGACACAAACCACCTCTCCCATCTTGCTGGAGTACTCAATGCTTAAGGAATCGATACTCATAGGAATTAACATACCCTCTTCTTAAGTGGTTCTGAATGTTCCGATAAGCATCATTGAACATGTCCAAGTCTTCCTTTTCTCCAAAAAGGATGTAAGACTTCAGAAGGTACTCATAGAACGAGTCTGATCCTGCTCCCAAGCCACTCTGCTTTCCAACCCAATGGCCAGTTTGAATGTTCACAACATTTCCTTTCAGAACATAAGAAAAGTTTAGTCTAAAGTTGTCAAGTACATTGGAGAAAACCACTCGAGAACCAGAACTTAGAAAAAATGACATCTTCAAAATGTCTTAAAGTGGAACGATCAAATTACTATGAAAATAAGTGCTGCAGCGCATTCATCCAAAGCACTAGCACAGGCATGCAGTTGTTTTAAGTACTTTTTTGTTATGTGCTGAGATGAATTATGTTAATGGGGATACAAATGCAAGAACTTCAGTTTCATTTCCCAGTTTCAGGAAAAACGCATCTTTGGAGACCTGTGCCCCAGGAAGTCTCTCAGACACTCCGTTTTTTCTTATGAAATTACAAAGCGTCACTTGGTCAACAAAAACCACAAGCACACAAGGAGAGTGTGACTCAACAGCTACAGAGGGAGCAGAGCGACAAAAGTCTGCAAGACGTGCCAGAACCCCGCAGCGCGATCACGCTCTGTGATTCCACAACCCTGCAGCACAACGGCATTCCGCTACGGGAGACTGAAGCAGGCGAAAATACGGAGCATGACCTCCGAGAAGGATTACCTAGCAGTCCGGTGTTATTGCTCCTGAGACTCCAGAGTGCTTTGACAGCCCTCCTGGCCACCCATTCAAACGTGGAATCCCCGAGCAGCCTGCTGAGGATACCAAATTCCACCAGCAAGGAACCAGCTCCTGCGGTGCAAGTCTCGTTATGGCTGTCCGGAGGTACCCCCTTCTTCAGATTGACCTGGGGAAAAAAGGCAGAGAGGGCGCTAACAGCAAGAAGGGAGGCTGCACCTCAGCCAGCCACGCTCTCCCCTGCAGTCTTCTATTTATTATAACGGGTTTTTATTAGTTTTTGCAACATGCAGCAGGGAATGTGTATTTAACTAGAAGGCCAGCACATCGCTGGTCAGTTAGAAAGCCCCAAGAATTTCTGAGATTTGTCTTCCAACTTTATAACATCAGGCTTGAGGCAAGCAACTCTAATTTTGCTACTCTTATACCTGCTAATCCTTTCAAATTTCAGTCTGATTTTTCACCATTTCTACTAAACATTCAGGTTCTTCCAAGGGCGATGCAAGTACTGCTTCCCCTCATTTAGTGCTCCTGAAACCAAGAGTCTCCTCAGCAAACGCTCCTCAACCTCCCCGCAGAACCAAACGCTGAGGGGAAGTTACACCACCCTCAACTGCTTCACCAGACTCTGAAGAGAACTGCAAGTTCATGTTTCTACAGCCTGACACAGGGCGCAGGATTTGAGCTGCAGGACAGGAGAAGCACTACTTTCGGGTTATTTCCCCGCCGCGGTGGTGTGCTCACTTACCCGAGGGTACGGAATTCCAGTTTTGGTGTTCTCAAACGCTGGGAGTAGTCTCACTGCCAGGTCATGAGCCATATGCAAGAGTTCGTTGTCATAATCCTTAATGGTCATATCACCAAAAGGCTGTTTGGTATCCGTAATTATGATGTGGGCAGAAAGCAGGCTTCCCAGAACCCTAGGGGAAAAGGAAAAGATCTTCAGGTTTTCAACCTGATCTGAACCAAGATCTCCAGTCAAACCCTTTGCAGTATCACGTTTAACAGAAATACTACTTTGTGCACCTTACAGGCACTACAGGCGATTCATTTTTTCCCCCCATCAGTAGCAAAAACATTCAGAAGTCACACTGCTTGTCACCCACAGTTATCCCAAAATCCGGTTCTGCAAAATTTACCTAACCCAGTAGCTTCTGACAACATGCCAAATCTATTTATGAGGGAAGACCTTCCCGCCCCTGCAAAGAACAGTCAGGCTGTTATATAAACTTAGAATTCAGAAAAAAAAGAAAAACCTAGCCAAGTTAAGCAGCAATTGAATAAACACTGCTTAAGACATCGAGAACATGAAGCCATTTAAAAATGAGACAGTATCTTAAACTCATGTCCAAGTCAAGCACATTTTCCATCTGAAATGAAAGTGAAAGCAAGCAGAAAGTCCTCAGAAAAAAACCAAAACGGGAAACCCATCAGCAGGGTTGGTTGTTGTGCACAGAACTCGGCCTCCCCTGTGAGAGCAGCAACAAAAAAGCAGCAGTGTGCAAGCCACACACAGTTGAAACCATCACTGCACCTCTGCTTCGAGCCATATTTGATTCCTTAAAATTGTCTGAATTACAAAAGGATGGAAGATTTTCATAGAAGATGAAAAAACTACTCACTCAAGGAACAATTGTGGAATAAAGCCTACCAAAGACATCCTTATCAATGACTTTACTTTGGGCCCATACAGCACATTCTTTACCCTTGCTACTGTTTTAAGAAGAGCGACATACCTGATTGTTGCCTCAAAAACTTGGACCGTCGAGTCTTTATCAAACGAAACCGTGTCAATCACCAACTTCACAGCTTTCTGGAATTCTGAGGAGTTTCCCATTACCTTTCACAAAGAAACAGAGGTATTTTGTCTAATTGTTGCTTCAGAAGACAGTTGGGGAATAAAGAGGTTAAGTTAATGTCTTAGACCAACAGTTATACTGAGCAGATACAGAGAACTTCAACCTCCTGCTAAAAATACCTTTCAGAAAGTTGCCTCCCCTCTACTGACATGTAAAAGTGTATTTTCTTAAGCGGTATGTTAGAACAGGGAAGTCCACAAAGATAGAGTTGGTCTGTTTTACTAATCTATGTACTCACGCACTCTTCGATCCCCAATATCAGCTTTGTGGGTGATCTCTTAAGAGCAGTTTTACATTTGAGAAAAAAAGTTACGTACTTCCCCAAAAGGTAAGGACAGGACACTGAGCCACTGGAGAACGAAGACTAAATGGCAACTGTTCAGCCAACACACCATCAGCCTCACAGCACAGAGCCCCAACTGCTTGTTTCAGTTAAACTCAACATTTTCTTCACTTCCTTCTTTCAGTTCTGCTCACTCAACAGCCGACTCCTCCTCACCACAGAGCTGCAATGCCACCGTAGCAGTGGGAAGTATCTTAGCACCTGAAGCACACACGCAGCCCTTGCTCACAAGAGGAGAAACGCAGCAAGGATGCAGCACGTGGGTGAGCCCTCACGTTCCAGAAGGCCAAAAATCTGCTCTTCCTGCAAAAATGAGCCTCATGAAACCCAAGGGGGGCTCCAGCAAGGAAGGGGCTCTTCTCCATGAGACCCTACCACTGGTACTACTAACATAAAACAGAGGTGCTTCTCACAGTATCTTCCAATTTTATCAGAAATGCACAACAGTCCATTATAGCAGGCGAGAAGCAGCTTTACAGCTTTTTCCCCCCTTCCCCTTTTCACCTCTCACAAAAACTGTTAGACCTTTCACTTTATATCGCTGAAGGTCATCACAATTTTAGTTGGTTCCGTACGACATCATCTCACCTGCTCTCAATCACAGAATTATAGAACAATTCAGGTTGGGAAAGACCCTTGGGATCATCGAGTCCAGCCATTAACCCCACACTACAAGCTCAGCCCTAAACCACATCTAAACGACACTTGAACACCTCCAGGGATGGCGACTCAACCCCCTCCCCAGGCAGTCTGTTCCGGTGTCTGACCACTCTTTCCGTGAAGAATTTCTTCCTAATGTCCAGCCTAAACCTGCCCTGTTGCAACTTGAAACCATTCCCCCTGGTTCTGTCCCTAATGTGAGAAGAGACCAGCACCAACCTCTCTACAATGTCCTTTCAAGTAACTGTAGAGCATGATGAGGTCCCTCCTCAGCCTCCTCTTGGTCAAACTGAACAGACCCAGCTCCCTCAGTCGCTCCTCACAAGGTCTGTTCTCCAGCCCTTCACCAGCTTTGTTGCCCTCCTCTGCACTCGCTCCAGCACCTCGAGATCTGTCTTATACTGAGGTGACCAAAACTGAACACAACACTCAATGTTAAGAATTATTCTGTTTTTACCAGCAGCTCTGCATCAAGCATCAGCATTTCGGTGCAGTAACAACATTAACTCACAAAGACTAAACAGGGCTGGTCCTTTGCAAACACTGCAGAGTAACTCCCTCCAGTTTGAAACTTTCTGTTGCCATCTTCCTTCAACTTCTCACCAGGTTTTGCTCCTGAGTACCCCTCTTCTTCAGCTCCACTAGGTTTCTCTGGGGTTCTTGTTTGTTTTAAATATGGAGCTGATTCAAGGTATAAGATCTATTGTGGTTATAAATTCAACCTCCAGTCAAAGGACAACATCATTGTTGTTCAGTACCAGGGCAGGTGAATCTAGCAAGGCCCATCTTCAATTGAAAAAAAAAATAAAATTAACACTGTATTACATCCTCACTTTGCCTGTTAACTCTTTCCTTCCAAGTCTGCTCCAGCACTCTGCCTGCTGTCCAGGTGACAGCTCACTCTCGCCTCCGTCCAAACATCCCACAATCAAGACTTACAGCATCACAGCCCTTCCAAACCAAGTTCTGTGTCTGACAGCAAGCTTTGACTCCCGGCTTCCTACATAAGGGCTGGGAGAAAACCACCTGACGGACTGCAGCAGTTGCCTGTGTTGCTGCTAACCGCTGGACTAACAGAAGAGAAGGTTCCAGGGAGATCTTAGGGCAGCCTTCGAGTACCTGAAAGGGCTACAGGAAAGCTGGGGAGGGACTGTTTATAAAGGCATGTGGTGATAGGGTAAGGGACAACGGTTTTAAATTGGAGCAGGGTAATTTAAGAAGAAGTTCTTCGAACGCTAGATTCTTAGAATTCTTAGAACATTAGGAAGAAGTTCTTTACTACGAGGGCAATGAGGCTCTGGCACAGGTTGCCCAGAGGAGCTGTG